GAGTAGAATGTGAATTAAAGGTACAGCTGGTGATTTCTCCAATCAATCAACCGAGTTCATCTGATAAGTTCTTGAATTTTTGTCACATAACTGTTGGTCACAGCTCAATCAATAATGGATTTACAGTTATGCTAAAGAAATGCAGAATTTTTTGTTTTTGACAGAAGGTAGTTAGAACGAAGGCTTGATTTTTGGCAGAATAAAGTGTCTTTGAGTTTGGGTCATTTTTCTAGATACTTACAAATGATTAATTGCTGGAAAGATAAAAGTCCTTCAATTTTTGTCTTTATTACAGTTTCTGATAAATGATGTAATTTTGCTGAATTTCTTTAAAGATGTCGTGCTTTTTGAAGCCACCGGCGGGTTTTGGGGTTTCGGAGGGTTAAGACATAAATATGTTCTTAATACAAAGAAGCCGTTCCAGTCGAGCCTCGATGCTGCGGCAGCTCATTCAGCGCTGCCAGAGGAGGCTGTGCTCGAGTGCTCGGCCGCCGTAAAGCCAGAATGAGCTACGAGTCTCTGGAGATTATTATATCTACCCCCATAAAGCCCAATTCCCCGTGTTTAAGACCTGAAGATATTCTGCGGTCTATTTTCTACGTGTCTCTCACAGTAACACACAAAAGGTAGCGGCCCGTTCACGCTGCGTCTGGATTTATGTTCTGTTGAATCGCTGTTTTTCTTCTCCTGAATGGGCCTTTTTGTCTTAACAAAAAGCGCAGTAAATATCGTTGTCAAAGCCGGAGGCCACGTCGAGAGCTGCGCGGCCACGTTAAGCACATTATTTACTTCTGGATTCTTAATAAGACAGAGGCAACGATTCACAATTCATTCATCCCATTCGCTCCGTTTAAGAAGAACTATATCGTGTTTATGTGAATAAATGCGGCGTTTTTGTGCGACTACTTTTATCTAATGGCTGTAGTTGTTGGGTACTTTGCATATTTTGGTTTTACATCAAGACGAGATGAGATCCATGTGCTGGTTTGGTGATTTAGAGGTAATTAGGGCTGCAGATAACAATCATTTACATTATCGATGAATCCGCTGATTATTTTCTCGCTTAATTAATTTGTTGTTTGGGCCATAAATGGTTGGAAAATGGTGGTAAAGGATGACGAATGTCTTGTTTGGTCTTAAAGAGATTCAGTTTGTAGTCATAGAAGAGGAAGGAAACTGGAAAATATCCCAATTTTAGAAGCTAGAATCTGAGAATTTCAACTTGTTATTTCGATAGCTGGCGATTAATTTAACCCTTGAAATACCAAAATGTGGCTGAAAGTTTGAAAAAAATGTTGGATTTCCAACTTTGCAACAATCTTTGAGCTCGTCATTTACTCTGTTGATACCATTTATCAAAACCACTGACTGTAAAAGCACAAAGAAACATTGGATTTTCAACTTTGTGAGAGAATTTGTCCCAAAAAAAAGGAAAAATCTAAGCTTGAAATTGAGATATTTCATCAAAATCCCTTTTTTCTATGTGTCTCATGCACCAAAAGGCTTCTTTCAGGTTTGAAAAACATGTCATTGTTTTGAAAAACTGCCAAATGTACACCATTTGCCAAAGCAACAAACTGTGAATACACCAAGAATCACTGGTTTTTCAACGGTATGATGGTGTTTGGTCCAAAAACTGAGTCGAATCTAAGCTTAATAAACCATTTCCAGTCCCCAGATTTTACTAGAAACATAAAAATCTTGAACTTTTCGGGTCAAACGTGAAGCTTTCAGGTGACACATTAACCAGACTGATGGACACAACAGGTGCTTTTTGTAATTTCGTCCATGTTGTCGGTGATTTGAGCTCCACTTCTGTCCCTGCAGCCCGGGCTTTGTGGAGTTACACCACGGCGTTCATTCAGACATATTTCAAAGCGACTCTGGCAGCGTTACCTTCTGGTTCCTCCGTCGGCCTGCGAGGGTCCGCACAGCTGCAGCCTCGCGCTGAAACAGCTCATCTATAATTCAGGGAGCCCATTACGTATTCCCCGTGAAGATTGTCTTGTCTGGGCCGCTCCTGGTTTCAACCTTGCCTCTCGGCTTCGATCTCCTGATCTCAGGTTTGAGGCCTGTCAGCGGCTCCGGCGGCGGGTCACTGGATCAGGCTCTCGGCACTCCTCATTCAGGGTTTCCTCGTGTGGCTGTTAGAGCATCCAAACAGGACTGTTTTTTTTGTTTTTTTTTTTGCATATGTGAAAGCATGCACGCGTGCATCCGAGTGTCCTTGCGTACGTCGTGAATGGTTACCAGGGCAACCAGAGAGAGCACGACATCGCCTCTCCCCGACGTGTGATTGAGTTCGAAGACGATTAGAGGACGAGAGGAGACACGAGGGGAGTTTGTTTGTTCCTCCAGACCCGTAAACATGTTGATCTTTCCTGTAAATGAGCTGGTGCTCGACAGGGAGGACGTTTATTTCCACACAGCCCAGATCTGTCGCCTCCTTCTGCGAGAAGAAGTTGCATGTTTTTTTTTTTACCTTCCAGAGGCTGATTAGCTGATGAGCAGTTAAATTAGCAGCACTGTGTCTTTGTTTTAGAGGAGCTGGAGTGTAGACCAAAACTTTACGACTGAGTTTACCTCTTAATTACACCACCAAGGAAGAAAAGGCATTAATGCAAAATATTAAACTCTCATTTATTAGAATTCTACCAGTTATACCTGCAGACGAGAAGGTGGTTCAGATTTAACAGGTAGTTGACAGTTTTTAAAAGACCTTTTATGCAATTTAAGATTAATTTAGTGAATAAAAACTCCCATTATCATCCTCAAATGTCTTGTTTTACCGACCACAAATGTGCTCACTGTCCAATCATGCAAATACAAATAATCTAATTCTGATTTGTATTATTAATTATAATAATTCATTATTAGATATTTGGTCTTGTTGATTTGTTTTTGTTTTGTCCCTTTGTGAATGAAACGTATCATGTTTTCATTGATGCTTTGGCGATGTTGAACTCATTTTCATGCCAATTAAACAAATTGAATTGCAAAAAAAATAAAGAAAGAAATCTGCATTCGAGAAGGGAACTGAATGATGAATGTGTTTTGTGTGGTCTGTAATTATCTTTTATTATTTTTTTGTAATATTGTTCTAACTTTCATGCCAAAAAAAAGCAAATTAAATTGAAAAAAAAAAGAAAAAAAGAAAAAAGTATTCATAACCCCACTGCATGTCCAGGCTTTGACATGTTGGATTTAGTTTGACGTACAGGATCACAAGTTAATTTATAAGTATCTTGTCATATGTTAAAAACAACTTTCTTCTCCTTCTTGCTTCAGACTCGGTGTCCAGCGAGACAGCCTTCCTGGAGGACTATGTTCTGGGGATGGGCGACACCCTGGAGATGTTGTGCGACCTGGAGGACCACTCGGAGCCCGTCGTCTGGTTCAAGGACGGCGCCGGACTCGTGCCGGGCAACCGGACCCGCCTGGGCCAGAGGATGCTGCGGATCATCAACGTGTCGTACGAGGACTCGGGAGTTTACTCGTGTCGACTCGCGCACAGCAACACGCTGCTCAGCAACTACACCATCAGGGTGACAGGTGAGAGTTTACACCAACCAGTGGAGAGTCCAGGCAGAATGCGCACTGCGAGGGCGACTCCTGCTACCGTGCAGCTAAAGAATATGAAGATGAATGCTTTCTGCAGGCTGCACTGCTACGCACAACTTTACACGGCAACAAGCACGACATAAATCTTTAAACAAGGTGTATTGATAAGTATTTAATCACTTTTTTGTCACATTTTGTCGCTGTGGCCTCATTCTTCACTGCAGTATAAAGTCCTTCACCTCTATGGAAACAGAACAACCAGGATTAGAAGGATAGAGAACTCAGAAATGTCTTGTGTGCAGCGTAACAAACTTACAACAACATATAGTTAAAAATAACTTTATTTATTTTTACAAAGATTGCAAAAACTTGAAATCAGCATCTACACCTTTTTTCCAAGTGCCCACAGTTGCTGCCAACACTGGAAACTAAATGGTGGCTTTACATACTAAATATAATTAACTGCTTAAGTTTTTATTTGATTTTATTATTGTTTTCTTTTTGCTATATGAAAACACTGACTGTAGTTCGACCTAGTGCAGCGACAAAGTCCTTGAATTGTTGTTGCGTAACTGTTTGTCACAGTAGAGTCAATAAGGGCTCCACGATTGCGCTAAATAACGCAGAATTTTTTGTGTTCAACAGAATCTGCTCAGAGCTAATGCTTTATTTTTGGCATTTTTTAAAATGAGCACATAGAAAAAAGTTATTTTGAGGAAATATCACCATTAAATTTGGATTTTTTTCCAGACATTCGCAGATGATTAGTTTGTAGACTGTACAAAAAACTGAAAATCCAACAATTACAAAGCTAAAACATCTTAAAATCATTGAAAGAAATAAAAAATGAAAGTTGAATATCTTTATTTATTGTACAACAAATGTAAAAACTGGAATCAACACATACAACTTGTCTCCTGTCTGCTCGGTGCTCTAACACATCCTACAGTTCAACCCAAAAGTCTCTGATTTATGATCACATGACTGTTGGTCACAGCTGAGTCACTCATGGCTTCTTAGTTTACACAGAGAACACAGAATTTTTCTATTTTTACAGAATCTGGTTCGACCAAACGGTATATTTTTTTGCCAAATTTTAACTGAGACGAGTGATTTTAATGAGATGCCACTATTTTAAGTTTAGATTTGGTTTTCTGATGAAACAGCTCGTCACAGACCGTCAGAAAGAAAATGCAACTATTCTTCTGGCTCCAGTAAATTTTCCAAAGATAACGCCTTTCAAACCTGCCAGCGGGTTTTCGGGCTTCAAAGGTTTCAGTAGGAGTTAACCGAAGTAACAGACGTGTTTCAGTGAAACATCAAAATGTGGGAAACTGTGTGAGAACGTCTTCAGACGAGATACAAAACTCATCGTGTGAATTTTCCAAGATACTCGAGTCGCTCCGGCAGAAACAGGCACTTCGGCTTCCTCCCGCGGAGCCTCTGAAACCCAAACCTGCCTCGGCGTTTCTGCTGCTCTGACAGACTCCAAAGTGTTTCCTATCAATAAACACACTCCAGCAGTTACAGTAGCGGCGTCTCGACATGACAGCTTTTTATAACGCTTCACAGGGAAACAGTGAAAGCTTAGCTCAGGAGGAAACTTCTATTATTCTCTCCTCCTGCCAAGCTGCACCACTTTTATTTTTTCTTATTTCGTTGCACAGATTCCTCCAAACCCCGACGCACCGTCAAAGGTGAAATTCATTATCGCGCGAGCGGCCGAGTAACGTTTTAAACAAGTGCGGGCGGCGCAGCTCTAATAGGAATGCGGGGAGGTGTGCTGGAGGTCAGGAGGGAGCAAGCAGTAGCTTAAAAGCCGGGCGGCGTTTTCCCGTAAAACTCGCGGACACCAGCTGAGCCTGTTATTGACAACTAATTAGAAAGCAATTAGCTCCAAACATTTCATCATTGAAAACAGATGGGGTGGCAAGAAATGAGAGAGTTCGCTCCCTCTCAGCTCGGCGCCCTCCTCCCTGCCTCCTCCTCCTCCTCTTCCTCCTCCACACACAGATGCAGGAGTTTGGCTGCAAGCCGGCGTAGAAAATGGCCTTTTCCAGGTCCGATCAGAGGTGGATCTGCGGCGCACATCAGCTCCAGACTGCAGGAGGAAGAAATCCATCTCGCCAAGTCGCATTCTGCTTTAAATTTTTTTAAACAAACATAAATAAAGCGAGATAACTGGATTCGCCTGCAGCGTCTCCGGAGTTTAAACCACACAGGAAGCAAATTCATCGCAGCCTGTTGTCAGTGCACTTCGTATCGTTTTAGCACCACGCTTAAACAACTCGAGAAGTCTGGCTCTTTTTTTTTTTTCTTGCAGCAATATCCTGTTCTCCTCCCTCTACTTTAAACACAGCAGCCTCGGCTCGGCCTAAAGCACACACAGACTATTGTGTTTTTCCTCAAATATTTGAGCAAGGTGTCAGATATTTAGCAGCGGTATCAGATTTAGCACCTGGATGGCGTCCAGACAGCAGAAATCATATCGTACGCTCGCGGTACACATGCTGGAAACAAGGAGGTGCGATGTGAGCTGTCTGCGAGCCGGAGTGAATGAAACGCATGAAGGAGGCTGGAGGTTTTGCAGATGCAGCGTCAGACTCTGGAGGTTTATTGGCTTCAGACGATAAAAAAGGGAAATAATCTGGGTTTAGAGCAGTTTTAGAGGAAGCAAACTGACACTCAGCAGCATCACTTGATGTTTTCATCTTCAGCCTTTTGCACAACATACTCCTTTATCCCTTTTACTTTGTGCTACTTAACAGCCATCTCCTGTTCTGCCGCATTAAGTCTAAGCTAAAGCAGCATTTTATTTATTAAGCCTGCAAGTTCAGTTGTCTTGATCATTCCCTAAAGGACTCTGTTCTCTCAATATCCCAGTATTTTATTAATAAAACGCCAATAAACCGTAAAAAGAGCAAAAGAAATCTGACTATAATTACAAAATCCCTTCATGCCTCCTGAGATCGGAGGGTCACTCCAGATTGGGAACCAGATTCAGGCCCCATTTACACGTAGCAAAAACAATGATATTTCAATGGGCCTTTGATTTAGATGTAAACGAAGCTACAAGTCACCGAAAACGATCACATCTGAAAACTCTGGCCACAGTGGAGATTTGGAAAAACTCCGTCTTTACGTTTGCATGTAGACCGGAGGAGGCGGAGTTTGATGTCATAGTGTGCGACAAAAGCGTCGTCAGCGTCACATGTGTGCGACCACGTTTATAGTTTGGCTGCTGTGATAGAAATGGATGCTGTTCAAGCAGCGCTGGTTTTTATGTTTGTGCAACACTTTTTGCATTTATATTCAGAAATGTTCTATTATGTGGTGGAGCAGAGGAGAAGAAACGACCCTCGTGCCATTATCGTTAAGTAACAGGAAGTAATTCATGCCATTTGTTGTGTTTTTTTCTGGATTCTGATTGGCTAGCATGACTTTATGCTTCTCGTTACACTGCCCCCTATAGGTCTGGCAGCTCATGATAGCTCTTAACGATGTGTTTATGCGGGTTTGTGAAACAAAGATTTTTTTGAAAACTGTCTGATGTGAACAATGTTATTTTTGAAAACGTAGATCCGTTTTTGTCGATGTGTAAACATGGCCTTAGTATTTTGCCAATTAATCGTGTGGACCTGTCAGTCCACTTCGATCCAGTGGAACGTGCAGAACCTCCTTTCTGTTCATCTGACGGCATCTAAACGCTTTCTGCGCTCACTCAGTCGTAACGCAATTCTTATTAGCTTTGGCCTCGTAAAGTATCAGCAGACCACAAATCTGAGCTGTTAATGAAGAGACACGATAAGCGATGCGTTCAGAGTGAAGGACTTGAGGAGGGATCTTTACCACATTTCAGCATCAATATTTGTCCAGAAACAGAAAAAACTTCAACTGTCTATAACATCTTAGATTAACGAGACTCACAAGTAATGAATCTAATTTTTTGTTTGTCGCTTCCAGCTGTTTAAAACTATTTCCTCTGAGTTTGTGAAATACCTGCAGCATCAAACGGCAGCAGGATCCACAAAAATACAGAACTACACACATGGAACAACTTCATTAATTAGTTCTAGTTATAAATGATTCCCGACATGGAGACAGGATGGAGCAGAAGCTAACAGCAAGTCATTGCGTAGCTTGAATTTAGATTTAGCCTGCTGTTTATTAGTGCAATTACTGTGCAATTTAAGTACTTTCGTTGGTATGTTTGAATTAAACTTTGTAAAAAAAATCTAACGTCAGAAAGACAAAATGCCGTCTGAAAAAAGCTTCAGCGCTCCTGCTTTCTCCTGGTTTCACTAGTTTCCTTAATCACTCGCACCGTCTTTATCGTGATGTTTATCTTGACAGTGTTTTCTTAATTTATTTCTTATTTACTGTGATAAGATATGCCTTTATTTATCTCACAGTGGAGAATTCACAGTGTTGTCAGCAGCAGTTAAACACATACAAGACAGATAAATGTACATATACAAAACCGTGCAAACATAAGTAGAAAAACACACATTTAAAATAGAATAGTGTAAGAACAAAATATAAAAATACACATTAACAAACAGTGCAAGCCCAGATATAAACATACATGCATGTCGTGAAATAGTGCAAATAAGCAGCGTAATATAAATAAATAGTTCTAAATATAAATATGAGTGTTGTTTGTTGCTCATCCAGTCTGTAAAGCGATTTAAAACGCCGTCTTTCTGCAAAGCTGCGCCACGATAGCAGAGCAGATTTGTGGACTGTGAAGGTGTCAGATAGAATAAAAAACTCCCCCCCAAAAAAACCTGCTAGTCAGGAGTTTCAGGAGCAGTTTTAGCTCACCGGGGTTGTCGAGGTAACAGCTGGCTCTCATTAACCAAAACCCGCGGAGCTGAACCAGAAAACTTCAAGGTCACATCGAAAATAATTACAACAACCCCGAAATGCGCGATGCAGCGAATCTAAACAGTTGTATCTGTGGCTGGAGGATAATTAGACGTCAGACTGTTGGGCTTTTTTTTCTTTCTTTGCACATGTGCTCTCACGCAGCAGCACTAATGACCCTCTCATTTGTAACGTCTGTGGAAATGTTTAGGTTGTAATATCTGAGCGAGCCGCCGCGCTACGGAGAACTGTGGACTCATTCATGGCTTTCTCAATGAACAGTCGCTTTTAATGTGCATTCATGCGTCCGTGCATCTTTGCGAACACACTCCATTTAATCTGAGAGCGTTTAACATGCACTGAATTCCTGCTTTGCTTTCTTTTTTCTCCCTCCTCCTCCTCCTCCTCCTCCTCCTCCTCGTCTCGCACAAAATAGAATCTGGGCTCAGAAGTTTCCAGATGTAATTTGCTTGTTATCTGATAGCCAACAGAGTTCAGGGAGTCTGAGGGGAAAAGACGTTTGTGGATTCTGTTAATTTCACTTTTTTTCCTTCTTGCAGATTCTCTGTCATCCGGTGACGATGAAGACTATGACGAAGACCCAGAAGATGCAGGTAATGAAAATGGTGAATTCTTAATTACTCTTTTCTTTCTTTTAATCGCATTTTACGCTCAAATAATGTCATTTTGTTCTGTTTTAAGAGTCTGCAGGGGGTAAAATATGACAAAACTAGTGAAACAGAGCAAAGTAGCACCATTTATGAGCTCGAGATGAAGGACTTTGTCTGAAAGTTTGAGAAAACCAGTCTGATGAAGTGCAGAGCAAAGTGCCTGAAAAGCAAAATAACTTTGATCTAAAGTAGAAAAACTGATATCAAAGTCCAAACTCAACCCTAAATCTAAATGGATCAACCCTGAATTGAAAGTTAGTCCCCAAACTGTGCAAAAGACACAATTTACTGCCAGAATCGCCTTTTTAAAAACTGAAATGTCTGTAAAAATAAGAGTCGCTAACATCTTAGATGATTGAAAAGCACCAGAAATGAATGTAATGCAGGTTTTAACCAACAGGAGATGAAGTTTAGGTCGTTGCTTCCGGTTGTTTGGGAGTATTTCCTCTGAGTTTGTTGAATAACTGCAGAATCAGAGAGCAGCAGGATCCATATGAGTGTGGAACAACAGCAGTAACTTGAATTTATTTAAATTATAATTGATTTCTTGATGTTTTTTGCGCCATCTTTCTGTTGCTCTCTCCTGCACATGTCACTGAAATGTTCCACAGTGCAAAATCCTTTCTGGAATGACAGTAATAACTCATCTTCCAGGTGTTCTGTCTTGTTTTACTGTTATTCTACTCATCTAAACACTATTTTAAGGAATCCAGTAAGTTTCATGAAGTCGAGCCTTTAGCATAATCCTTCTACCGGACAAACAAACTGCACTGAAAATACCTTTGTCGCCTCTAAATTCTAAGTTTAAAGGAGGTGACATTGACGGAAAAATGAAAACATCCGCTGCAGCCCCGAATGTAAAAGACGCTCTGATGTGTGAATTATTAGCAAACCTCACTACATAATGAAAAGGTGAAGAAACGTCCCCGTGAGGTGCAGATATCGACTCTTCACGTTATTTAAGCCACGCTGTGCCGCCTTTTATTCCCACTTAATCTGCGTTTTATCGTTCCACGTGTCGCCGTGATGAAAGACTTCATCTGCAGCAGCCACAACATTTCCTCAGAAAGTTGCTTTTATGAGCCGCTGGGTGACAATCAGCAGATTTATGCAGGCGATTAGATTTGTATGAGGCCCGATCTGGGTTTTAAACCTGTAATTGGCATTATGCGACTTCTGAAACCTCCTCCCCAGAGCACCCAACTAAACGCCGCCGTCGTGCGGATCAAAAAGCCGGCAGGCGTCAGGCCTCTCAGCGCTGACGTGAGCTGCTACGGAGCTCAGAGACGTGCCGAGTTCAGGTGCAGGTGAACAAAGAGCGATGAGCGACGGCTTGTCGACGTTCTGTCAGCTAGCGTGACTCCAGAAAGGCGGGAAGGCGTCTCCGCCCCCTCGGCGAGCTCTCGACCGGCCCGATGCCACGTTGAGCCGCCTTTGTTGTTCCGTATGGAGGGAGACAGTCGGAGGGGAATCAGAGAGAAACGAGAGGAATGAAGTGATGGAGACGCTGGAGACAACGGTAGAGGACTGGATGTAAAAGCTGCAGAAAAAAAGGAAGCATACACTGTAAATAAATAAATCAGCAACACAAATCTGAAAAACTGGCAGCAAGGGTGCAACAAAATTACAGTTAAGATAAAATACTGTAATATTGTGGAAGTAAAAGTGGTGAAAATAACAGCAAATACCTTTAAAATAATGATATTTGTAGTAAAACTGTAGTTTCACAGTCATAAATTGTAAAATGACAAGTTAATTTTTTTCAAAAAAGAGAAAAAAAAGATTTTATTATTTAATGTGGACTTTTTTTTAGCATTAAATTGTAAATTAATCTATTTTTGGTTTTACTCGTTATTATCTGTAAGTTAATAAAAGTGGCAAAATCTATAAAATCATACTTTAAAAAATAACTTTACATTTTTCAGACCCTAATTGTCTTTTGAATAACAATATTTTTGTCGATTTAATATAGCACAGAAAAAGTTAATTGATTGAAAAAAAATGTTTAAATTATATTTGTAAAAACAAACACCTTTGATATAGACAATATTTCAAGCTTCTTTTTTAGAGGTAATGTGTAAATTATTATCTTTTTTCTATAATTTTGCTCGATATCACTTGTAATTAACAAAACAGAGGGAATATGTAATAACAGTAAATTGTTTTTAAAAATTAACATTCAAAATAGTTTTTTAAAAAAAACTAAATTTATTCTACTCATTATCAATATAACTTGGCTTTTTTTGACAAGATTTTTAAAGACTCTTTCATGCCAAAGTGAAAACTGATTTCAGCAACATAATATCAGTTAAACAAAAATACAAAATCAGTGATTACACAAGTATTCAAGTCAGTATTTAGCAGATGCACGTTGAGTCTCCATCAGCCTGAACATCTGGACGCTGCAGTTTTACCACATTTTTCTTCGCAAAGCCGCTGAAGTTCTGTGAGGTTACATGAGTTCATATATTTGTAAGTTCTTGTCAGAAGAAGTGAAATCAAATTAATTCAGTGTTGAAAAGCAGCAGAAAGGAAAACCTCCAAAAGGGGGTGAATGTTTTTTATAGGGGCTACAGATGGACACGTATACGGACTGTATGGTGCAGCAGCAGGCAGCAGGTGCTGTTGCAAAGCAGAAAAACAGCCCAACACATGGCAGCGGCGTCAGACAGGCCACGATGCTCCAAACCAACTCCCAGTCCACGTCAGCTGCTCAGCAAAACCGGTGCCAGAAGCAGAATATGGACGTGTTTCTGTGACGGAGAGACAGTCGGCCGCCCGAATGAAATCAAAGTCTGGATGTAAACGTCGCTGCAGAGCTGCGACCGCATCAAGCAGCTTCGCACTCGACCCAAACAGTGAGACGGCGACTCTGCTGCCGCCCCATGCCCCGTGGTCATCATTAATGTTTCACCCGCTCTTTTGTCGCGCCACTACAGTCGGGAAAGACGGACGTGTGAAAACACAGAGCGATGGAGAGGGGAGATGGTGATGATGTGAAGCAAAGCAGCAAACCTCCGGGACAGAGGTGCCGTTCAAAGAGATTGTTAAAAAGGCAAATGAAACAACAGAACTGCAAATATTTTCACTGCGGCCGCCGCATTTCAGCGTGACGTCTCTGCTTAGAAGATCAAACCTTTTGTTGTTTTTCAAATGAGCCTTTTTGTGTTAAGATGCTCCCCATGAAACGATCATTAGCACGAGTTCAACCGGGGACAGTTATTCCACTGCAATCTCAATTTTTCTGTCACTTCTCCACCAACAAAATAGAAGCAAAAGTTCTCAAATCGTTGAACTAAAAAAATTGCTTTTAATCGCATGAAGTGGTTTCTGGATGTTTTTCACTGCAATATAAAATCCTGCACCGCTATAGAAACAGCTCAACAATGACTAGAAGGAGGCACTTACAATGCCATAAATCATAAAAACTAACCTGAATTCAACATTTTTCCAATGCACACAGATGTTTCCAGCACTGGGAGAAAAAAATGGTGATACTAGATACTATAGATGTTTTGCTTTTTTGATTTGTTTCCATATGTTTTTGTTGTACACGGGCTGCAGTTCAGCCGACAAATCCCTGAATTTTAGTTAGCTGACTGTTCATGACAGCAGAGTCGATCACGGCTTCTTAGCGTCGCCAATAAGCGTAGAATTTTTATTTTTTTACAGAATGTGATTGGAGCAGATGCTTTATTTTTGGCTGATTTTTAAGCATAACTCGTAGAATAAAGTGATTTTTATAACATATTGCACTTCTAAGCTTAGATTTGGTGACGTTTTCCGTTGGAACACCACATCTCTGAGGGTAAATGACGACATCTTGCATAAAATCCAGTTTAGAGTTTTTGTAGAAACTTGCTCCAGTTCAACAGAAAGCTGCAGTTTTTCCTTTCAAAGGCGAAAGTAATGTGTATTCTGTAATTGGTGCTCAGTTTATGCCATGTTCAAGAACTTGCAGCGACCGTCCATGAGGCTGCTGCTCTGAAAAATAACTGTAAATTCTCAGTTGCACATCAAACAATCCTCTAATTTTTCTCCTTTTGCCACTCAACAGTTAACAATAATCGTCCTTTCCATCCTTATCGCAGCGCTCGATGCTATCGGCCACTCCATCGTTTAATGAACACAGGGACGTGTGTTAATACGCAGCCTGTCTGTGTTAACGGCCTTTATATTGCTGCTATCACTTTCAACATTTAATCCCTTCATTCTCCTCCCGTTGGATGTCGGAGAATTAAAAATGTAATCTCGCTTCAATATTCATATTTTCCCCTTTTTTTTCTTTCTGGAGGGCATGTGGCTCCCATCCAGACAGATTATAGTAGAAAGCAGCAGAATAAGCTGCAGCAGAAAAGGCTTCTCGTCTTTGTGCCGCGAGTCGCTGTGGATAAGCTTAACGCCCTCCTCGCTGTACGATCTGAATGCGCGGCGTCACTTTGCTAGTGAAAAGCCTCGAGTGTTTTCTGAACGGGCCGAAGTGGCGGCAGCGGCAGCAGCTTTACTGCACACATCCTGAATGCCAGTAAATAGCCTCAGACTGCCAGACTTAATCTCTGGATGTAAGTCCACCTCATGACATATGAGGCTCCGATTTCCTGGCCAAAAGGAGAGGGATTAGCCCAGAAACATTAAACCCCTATCGCTGCTTAATGTCCGCTAAGCCACCGCTAATTAGCCGACCGGAGCAGGAAGGAGCCATGTGACGAGCCACTCGGCCAGACGGAGGGTCCCGGTCGGCGGGCGGAAGAGTCTCCACGTCCTCACGCCGAGAGGACGGTAATGGAGATGTGGAGATGGTGAGAGAGAGGACGGCCGATAATGAGGACGGGGAGCGGAAAACATTTTCTCTGGAAACCGAAGAAACCTCAGGATGGTCGCAGTAATACGAACCAGACCGCTCATAAAAACACGCAAAACAAACTCAATGGTGTCGGTTAGCACGGCTGAACGAT